ATTTTTGACTTATTTTCACACAGATTCGCGAATATGATAACACAGGAATGAATGTATGTGAAATCCATTCGAAGAAAAACGCGATTATATACGCGAATTTGTCAAAATAAATTTTTGCAGTTTTTCCCACATTCAAGGTATCTATATCCGCCGTTTTATTGGGCGGAATTGAACATGGATGGGCTCATTAGATCCGGCACGTAAAAAAAACTAAAATCACGCGGTGTTCCACGGAATTTGAATGGACATTCTTAATTTTAGACTCAAAAAATATGTTTTTTATAAAAATTTACGCACCAAATTTTCGTCTTTGCAACCCAATTGCAAAGAAGCTACGGTGAGCACATTCATGAGATATACACTAAACGAAGCAAAATTACGAGTTCTACAATCCTATAGTCAGTTTAGTCCATTATCTGGATGCGCATCCTAATTATAAGAAAAATTCAAAAAACACCGAAAATCCGGCTTCAAAATGTCAGCATCCATTTTGGGTGGATCCATTGATTATATCGAAAAATCATACATTAGAACCATATTGTCCATGGGGTATTCTGCAACTTAATCACTGATCACATGTACGTGCGTTGTGTAGTTTATCCACAAATCAGGACGGAACACAAAAAACTCGTTGGCTTCAACACATTTTCACCCATTTTTTTTACATTACCACAATCACAGCTTCCACGCAATTTATTATTTATTACCAATATTTTAAGATTTTGACAAGAACATTTCATTTTATAGAAATGAATTTAAATTATATGCCATATGTTCATATTTCGCGAGTTATAACCTTGCAAACCTCAGCTTCAAGGAATTTAAAAGATTTTTGTAATTTCCCATATATAATTTTGAGTTCCTACATCTAGACCAGATCCGTATAGACTAATTTAAAACAAAAAACCTCACGATAGTCCAATTTTTTAATGAGTTACAGAGCTATCTTTGGATGGGTACAAATGTACGTAGGTAATAACTTTAAAAAATTGTAAAAATTATATATATGGAAAATATTTATAATTTTTTTCTTCGATTATGTGTGAACATACCTCAAGAATGATTCCCCAAATTATGATCCAAATATCTCCATTATTAAAAATTGTACAGCATTTTTATTCAAAAAAGGTACAAATGTACCCGGTTATTGACCGCAGGGTTAAAGCCTCGTCTTCAAATTTTTGTTTGTTAATAAAATTTGCATATTTTTATGAAAGACTGCATTTACTAAAGCCGTTTGCGGTGCCCGCTGTAGTTCGAAAACGAAAACCCGATCAGCATATATTTTCGTGGAATCATAATGAATCTAATATCCCTATAAAAAAATTGTTGAATTGTCAAAGTCATTCCTATTCCTATTTCAATGAAAAAAGTTAAAAAGATGTTAAATTCGGTCCGGTTGAACTTTTTATACCTTCTAAAATGAGGATGACATTTAAAATATGTAAAATGTATAGAGGCTTCTACAGTATCGGAATCATAAACACCATTCAAAATTTGATTCGCTTGGCTTGCATTTTCGCCTTTGTCAGAAAAAAAACTGTAAAGTATACCGAAATTTCTTTTTGTTCACTTCGATTTTTGACACCCTGTAACTCACAACTGAATGCACCAAACAAAAAACAGCAAAATAAATTTGCGAAATGTCACCCTTTCAACGAGCATAAATCTGAAATTGTTTGATGGATACTTTACGAGAAATATATTAGTACAGTCATCCGCCGAAAAAATAATGGATTTCTTTTTCCCCAAACATCTTCAAGCGGTCCAGTTGTTGACAGTAGAGATCAAAATTTAGCGTTTGGCCATATGGAAGCAACTCATAATAAGTAATCCCCTTCCAGTCTCACCAAATGCATAGCAGAACCTTCCTGGCCGTAAATCTTGGTTTAACCACCGTTTGAGGATCTTCATCGCTTTTTGACCACGATCATGTTCGCAAAGTGTTATGGTATGTGATCCATTCCTCATCTCCAGTCACCACCCGTTTAAGGAATGGGTCTGTCTCATTCCGTTTGGCCAAGGCATCGCAGATGGAAATTCGATCCATCCTATTGTTTTCTGTTAATTGGTGTGGCACCCAAACATCGAGCTTCTTTTTGAATCCAGCTTTGTGTAAATGCGCGATGTTACAACTGCTAACATGCCAGACAACTTCGATCAGTTCTGCGATTTTATCACAGCTATCTGCCGAAACAATAATGGATTTATTTTCCCCAACCTAATATTAGGTTGTGCAAAGTTTGGTTCAAATAGGACACTTTGTTCGCATGATATTTTGGTATCTTTGCGGGAAAGGTACCAAAAAAGATTGGACAGATATGCCCATCTCCGAATTAAATTTATGTTTGGAGATAATATTACGATTTTCCAATTTTTAATAAATCCCAGATAGACAGATTGAAATATAGAAGGACATTCCGACATATCTGAAACGGATTTTGTAAAAATGGGGCCTGAAAGAAATATTTCGCTGAGACACTTTTTTGCTGTAGCGAAATGTATAGATCCTCATTAGCCAAGCAGCTGAGGATATAAAAATCATCAACTTTGATTCAATATTTGTTTTAGCTCCCAAATTTAATATTTTGAGTTCTATTCTCATATAACTCTTAAAAAATATAAATAAGGGTCCATATTTGGCCCAAATCCATTATTTGTATTTTTATTGAAATTACTGTCATTTTACATTCCGGGAGCTTCGTCTGTGTATAACTTCATCGATGAATATTTTCAATAGAAGTACATATTTGTACACAACACCCACATAAAAACCACTCTTTATTTATGTTCAAGGTCCAAACCCAATTTGTCACTCTATGTGTCCGTAGTTTGATATTTCCGTTTCTCTTGGTAGTAATTTACCATACCGCCCATATAAAAGTTCTGATCAGTTTTTGGTATTTTGCATCTTCACCTAATGGAAGAGGTTATAAAAAGTTCGGTGCGTTTTTATACCCTTCGCCACACTGTGGTACAGGGTATTATTTGTGCATATGTTTGTAACAGGCAAAAGGAAACGAGATAGACACATGGTTCCATTTGAGAATATGCATAGAATCACTTTCTGGGTCGATTTATGCATGTCCGTACGTCCGTACGTCCGTCCGTCTGTAGATGTTAAATTGTAAACAAAGTACAGGTCGCATTTATGAACCGATTTTGATGAAATTTGGCACAAGTCTCTTATTTGGCCCAAGGACGAACCCTATTGAAATTGGGAAAAATCGGTTCAGACTTAGATATAGCTCCCATATATATTTTCGTCCGATTTAAGGTAAATGGGGCACCAAAGTCCGTATATATCTTTCGATTTGCACGAAATTTGGCACAAAGTATTAAATTCGGTCCAAAATGATGTGTGCCAAGTTTCGAGAAAATCGGTTCAGATTTAGATATAGCTCCCATATATAGTTTCGTCCGATTTAAGGGAAATTGTGCACCAAAGTCCCTATATATATTTCGATTTGCACGAAATTTGGCATAACGTAATGAATTGAGTGTAGATTTAGATATAGCTCCCATATATAGTTTCGTCCGATTTAGGGTAACTGGGGGTCCAAAGAATATAAATATATATATATATATATATTTGCACGAAATTTGGCATAAAGTACTGAATTAGGTCGAGAATGATGTGTGCCAAGTTTGGAGAATATCGGTTCGGATTTAGATATAGCTCCCATATATAGTTTCGTCCGATTTATGTTAAATGGTGCACCACAGTCCCTAAATATCATTGGATTTGCACGAAATTTGGCATGGACTACTGAATTAGGTCCAGAATGATGTGCGCCAAGTTTCGTGAAAATCGGTCCAGATTTAGGTATAGCTCCCATATATAGTTTCGTCCGATTTCAGGTAAATGGTGCACCAAAGTCCCTATATATCGTTCGATGTGCACGAAATTTGGCATAGCGTACTGAATTGATGCTGGAATGATGTGTTCTGAGTTTCGCGAAAATCGGTTCAGATCTAGATATATATATATTTTCGTCCGATTTCGTGTAAATCTGTTGAGATTTAGCTCCCTTATATTGTAGGTTGATTTTAAGTAATTGACGTACCAAGAAGCCAATATATGGCTGATTGGAACAAAACGTACTGACATTAGTATAACCTAACCTGTGACAAGTTTCGTTGAAATCGGTTTATATTCGGATATAGCTTCCATACATATTTTCGTCCGATTTTAAGTAAATTGTGCATCAAACTCCTCATGTTTGTCAGATTGACATCAAAATTTGCACAAGGTACAAAATTGTGCATAGAATAACATAGTTGCGTTTTCTAGAACTACATACATAGCCCAACGGATGTCCTAGTGATATTTAAACGAATGACATGTTTATGGATAGCTCTAGGTCGATTCACATTTAAATAAATATCACATATTTATTTCATCCAATTTCATGATAATTGTCCTGTTTAATATACCCATAGTGGTGGAGGGTATAATATAGTCGGCCCCGTCCGATTTTATTAATTTCCTTACTGGTTATATTTATTTTTCTTATTTTAATTAAAATTTACTTCATTTTAAATTCTTGAAATTTCCACTGCATTCCCCATCAAATTTCAAACTAAAAACAGCTTTAATGAATTCCTCGAGATTTCAAAAAATATTCTAATCTTAAATTTAAATGTCACCTGAAGATAAATGCAAAATAGCGAAGTTGCAAATATTTTATCTCGCTCCAGTCAAAACAAAAATATGTGCAAAATTAAAATAAAACAAAGAACACAATGGAAGAGTTTAACACGACGAACAGCTTCAAAACAGAATTCTAAATTGCGAACAAAAAAAAAAAAAAATTAAAATGGAAAGCAAAAAAAAAACGAAATTGAATTTTATGGAAATTCTACGCATAACAATTGTTGAGAAACAACATCAAAAAACAACAACCCCTCTCCAAAAAAAAAAAAAAAGAAGTGAACAACCCAACAAAACATAAAATATCTGTGTTACAAAAAAAAAAAGGATTTACAAGGACTCGCACCTGTTTGGGCACTTCCAGACTGTTTTGAGTTTTCATTTCGGCACCAGTTGGAGTACGCGAACGCGTAAATGTTGTCCTTAAGCGTTGCATGGTGGCGGCGGGCAGCGGTTATTGTAGTGGGTGTCGGTTTACAGAAATAATAACATCAAAATAATCCGTGACTGCGTCATAAACGGACCAACAGATGCTTCTATGGGCTGAGTAAGCAACTCAAAAGCAAGGCCACCTCTCGCCAGACAAAACTCACACTCTACGAGACGCTGATACTACTATTGCTGTTGTATGGATCTGAATCATGGGTACTTGCGCAAGCAGATGATGCAGCTCTTGGAGTGTTTGAGAGAAAAATTCTCCGGAAGATCTATGTGCCGATCAGCGTCGATGGTCAATATCGCCGTCGAATGAACCATGAGCTATACCATATATTCTTGGACATCGACATAGTCAGACGGATTGAGCTGGATGAAGATGCCCCAGCTCAATAGGCATATAGAAGCGAGCTAAGTGGTGGTTCATGCAGAAGGGTAAGGCCACGAATCGGAATAATGGTCTTTTAAATTAGATGAGATGCGCACAAGACCGACGCGCCAGGAAATCTTATTAAAGCTCGGCTAGTGGAACAACCATTCTGTCATAGACCTTCTAAGTAAATAATGTCTGTGATGACGATAAAATGGTACCCTTCTAAATAAGGCCTCATCTTTCTAATTCCCCAGTGTATGGTGAGACACTCCCTTTCCATCGTTGAAAATTTCCATTCTAAATCCGAAAGCGTCCGACTCGCATAGGCTATGACAGACTCGTTGTCACTATGTCGCTAGAACAGAACAGCTCCTACCTGACAGAACAGCTCCTACTTCCTGACTGGCGTCGGTTTGCAGGAAGAACGGGTGTTTAAAATCGAGACAACACAACACAGCGTTCTCGGTGATACAATGATACAACCCCGACTTTAGTCCTCTTTTTAACAGGAAGTCCATTCTCAGAACTTTGGGTTCGGCTAACGTGAGCAGTACTGTTAACTCTGTATAAGTAGAATTTTCAACTAGCTTATCCGCTGATAATATATATATCGCTATTCAGGTCGGAAGCCATCATATATTCGATCAAGGTGATTCATGGTCCGTTATAGAATGAGTGTTCTAGCTGTGCCAAGTGTCCTTTGAATAAGAACAATTTTTCTACTTCTGCCCGGAACGAGTCCAATGACGTGCAATCATTTTTCTTCACTCAGTATTATTCTTAGTCACTTGAGAGCGTTGCCTTCCAAAATAGTCGGCAAAGTAGAGATCAGATGGACATGTGGAATTCGGTAATTGTCGGCCAGTTCTTCAAGTCTCTCCAACAACTCCAGCAGATCCCCTCGCCAGAAAATCGTAGGTTCCAACGTTGAACTATATTCATAATCTCAGCATCGCATGCTTCTCTGCGCGTTGGTGATTCGGGAAAATGTAAACTTACTTGTGTGACAACTGTTTTCTCTTCGGATTTCACTTCGTTCTCAAGATCTCAAAGCAAGTTTTCGGAAGAAGCTCGAAGTCGCTTTCTCCGTACGAAGTATACTAGTTGTTTTCGAAGGTGTCCTAGCATATAACCTTCGGAATCGATGACACTATTGTACAATCTGACCTTTCTTTAGTAAATAAATCCATCCGAGTGATTCAGATTTCAATTTTTTATCGCATTTTAGACTCGATCCGTCCTCTGATAAAATCTGATGTTTATTATGATTCTCGGGAGTTGGCAACGACGATTTAACGGTGATCGATAATGATGATTTTCTGGGGTCAGTATGATGATCGGCAACGACGAAGCCTCTGTGTGGAACAGTAGGCCGAAGTCTGTGTGTGGAACAGTAAGCCGAAGCCTCTGTGTGTATGTATTTATGTAGCCGCAATGCAATGAACATCCACAACACAAAATAGCGAGCCTATGCAATGGCAAGCCGCCCTCAATAGATGAAAGTGAAATACTTATGTTTGCGGCGTCACAACCTGAATGAGAATGAATTATATGATACGGTAGCTGACGCTAGCAAATGCCTATGCACTCATTGTTGGCGCTCATGGGGAGTCGTTGCTATGATCAGTGACGCTTTATATGTATGTGGCTTTTGGCACGTAACAACTTCCTTGCATTAAGAAAACTTTCAACCACTTCCTGCCCCAAAGTCATTAGGTAATTTCTCATTTAAAAATGTGATACAATGCTCTCCACTACAAGTCCCATCAAACTATCTCCGAGGTGCGAATTTATTTGGATTCAAAATTTCATGAATTGTTCGCTTTGTTAAAAGCGAGAAAACTTCACTCCGTCGACACAAAAATACCGGCATATTTTCGAAATGTTCAGAAGTTCAGTTGACTAAAATACTTACATTTAAGAAAATAGCCAATCATCACAAATTATCATCACATTATCTTCCTGTTTCTTCTCAAAGATGGCCACATAGGCCGATTTGGTGGGTGAGAAATGGTCACGAATCAGAGCCAAAACATCATCCCATGTTTTAGCTTCCTTGCGTACACCTTGCCACCATATGGAGGCCAAGCCATAGAACAGCAATGAGATACCCATCATGGCATCCTCATCACCGAGGAAAGAAAATCGAATGTTCCTGGTACGTTACAATGGAGGTTATGAATTCCTCGACGCTTCATGATCACGTTGGCCACCGAAATGAGAGGGGCAATTACTGAGACTGCCCTTGGATTTTTGTTGGACATTTTCAGCAGCCTGGCGGCCGATTTGCGTATAGCTTGGACATGTTGTTGCAATTGTTCGATGATCATTTGAACCATTTTTATGATGTCGTTGTTTTAGTTTTGTTTTTCACTTAATTTGCAATTATGTTGCGCTGGAATCGGATGAGTTTTGTAGATGAACAAAGCCACTTAGATTTGTTGGCGAATATAGCATTTATTTATTTCCCATTTCATTTGTATTACAAGGTTTTCTTAAATCTATTACATAGTTTATATAGCTCCTTACAGTATAACTTTTTCAAGGAATATCGATTTTTATATATATGTATGTATATATAGTTCAAATAAACAGGAAGGTCAGCCCCGTTTTAATTGTCATTTGTAATTTGACTTTGTCAATCTTATTTTATTAATTGAACAAGAAAAGGGATGAAAAACTTGTTCCGTATTGAATATTTTTTAAACTTATAACTAAAAAGAAAGGAAAATTACTTACAAACTACTATTTACAACTGTTTATTTATTTCGGTTTTGACCATTAAAATTGCTCAGTACTATACACTGTATTGTCTATGTCATATGTATTATATCGTCTATTATAAAATAATATTTTATTTTCTTCATCGAATAATAAACCATGGTTATTAAGATGTATCAAGCACATGGGGGAGAGATGACCACCATTCTCAAAGTGTCTAATGAATTCCTCTTCACTTATCATTCCATTTTTTATTAATAAATTTTCATGTGTAGTACATTTGTCTATAGTTTTTAGTGCCAATTCAATCATGAATTTGTCTATGCGTTTAATTTTGCTAATGTTGTATATATTTTTATTTGACGGAGATCGAAAGCTAACATCTTCAAGTTGTATTGTTTTCATATTATGACAGTATGCCAACATCTTTCTCTCAAATATTCTAATCTTCTCCATTTGTGCCGACGAAATGCTAAACCAAATGGGAAAGGCGTATGCTAATATGGGTCTTATTAGTTGCTTATAAATGCACATTTTTATATGACAGCTGAAGCCTCTTTTCCTTCTAAGAACACATTGAATTTTTTCGAAGCCAGATTTTGCTTCCCTTAACGCATAATTAACATGTTTAATAAATGAGTAATTTTCTTTTTTAATAATGGAGATATTTGGATCAAATTTTGAGGAATCATTCTTGAGGTATTTTCACACATAATCGAAGAAAAAATTGTAAATATTTTCCAAATATATAATTTTTAAAATTTTTTAAAGTTACTACATACGTAGATCAATAACCGTGATACATTTGTACCATGATCATGATCACGTTGGCCACCGAAATGAGAGGGGCAATTACTGAGACTGCCCTTGGATTTTTGTTGGACATTTTCAGCAGCCTGGCGGCCGATTTGCGTATAGCTTGGACATGTTGTTGCAATTGTTCGATGATCATTTGAACCATTTTTATGATGTCGTTGTTTTAGTTTTGTTTTTCACTTAATTTGCAATTATGTTGCGCTGGAATCGGATGAGTTTTGTAGATGAACAAAGCCACTTAGATTTGTTGGCGAATATAGCATTTATTTATTTCCCATTTCATTTGTATTACAAGGTTTTCTTAAATCTATTACATAGTTTATATAGCTCCTTACAGTATAACTTTTTCAAGGAATATCGATTTTTATATATATGTATGTATATATAGTTCAAATAAACAGGAAGGTCAGCCCCGTTTTAATTGTCATTTGTAATTTGACTTTGTCAATCTTATTTTATTAATTGAACAAGAAAAGGGATGAAAAACTTGTTCCGTATTGAATATTTTTTAAACTTATAACTAAAAAGAAAGGAAAATTACTTGCAAACTACTATTTACAACTGTTTATTTATTTCGGTTTTGACCATTAAAATTGCTCAGTACTATACACTGTATTGTCTATGTCATATGTATTATATCGTCTATTATAAAATAATATTTTATTTTCTTCATCGAATAATAAACCATGGTTATTAAGATGTATCAAGCACATGGGGGAGAGATGACCACCATTCTCAAAGTGTCTAATGAATTCCTCTTCACTTATCATTCCATTTTTTATTAATAAATTTTCATGTGTAGTACATTTGTCTATAGTTTTTAGTGCCAATTCAATCATGAATTTGTCTATGCGTTTAATTTTGCTAATGTTGTATATATTTTTATTTGACGGAGATCGAAAGCTAACATCTTCAAGTTGTATTGTTTTCATATTATGACAGTATGCCAACATCTTTCTCTCAAATATTCTAATCTTCTCCATTTGTGCCGACGAAATGCTAAACCAAATGGGAAAGGCGTATGCTAATATGGGTCTTATTAGTTGCTTTAAATGCACATTTTTATATGACAGCTGAAGCCTCTTTTCCTTCTA